TCCAAGGTTTTGAACGCATTGCAGAATATTCTGGCCAAATTATCGACCCATCAGCAGACAGATCTTGGAGCGAGGACGTTGATCTGAAAATGTCTCAGCTAGAATCCGTAGTTACTGAGATTCTCACTCACCTGCGCAATCAGACTCTAACTGTCTCTAACCATTCCCACACAGCCGCGACTGTTTCTTCGCTTCCCTCTGTTTCTGCCAATAATGAACCACGTCTGTCTGCCCCAGAACTGTATAGGGGCGATTCGGATCACTGCAGAGCTTTTTTAACCCAGTGTGAGATCCACTTTGAGCTGCAGCCTACCGCGTTTCCTTCTGACCGAGCCAGGGTGGCCTATGTTATTTCGCTGTTAGCGGGTAGGGCGAAGATATGGGGAACATCTGTGTGGCAGAATAACTCCTCCCTGTGTGATTCGTATGAGGTTTTTTTCTGAGGAACTACTTCGAGTTTTTAGCCCTGTTCTTCCCAGCAGAGAAGCTTCTAGGGGACTGTTGACTCTAAAGCAGGGAATCGGTCAGTGTCTGAGTACATTATCGATTTCCATCTGCTGGCTGCTGAGAGTGCTTGGAATGAGGAGGCTCTGATGGACGTCTTCATCACGGGACTCAAAAAGAGGATCAAGGATGAGCTCTCCACCCTTGATTATCCTCTTTCTCTTCTGGAGCTGGAGGAGTTGGCTTCCCGCATCGACCTTCGCCTACAGGAGCGTTGCAAGGAGTGGCCCTCTGGTGCGTGCCGCCTTCCCTTCAATGCAGTCCCGGAGGATTGTGGGAGGACTTCGGAACCCCTACTCTCTTCTGGTCCGGAGCCCATACAGCTGGGACGTTCGTGCCTCTCCAAGGAGGAGAGGGATCGCCGCTACAGGCTCCGGCTCTGTCTCTACTGCGGAGGAGAGGGACATCGGCTGAAATTCTGCTCGGTAAGGGATCAGGCACCAGGGAGGATCCTATTGAGCCGAGCCAGGCTATCTGCCTCCCCAGACTTTCTGCTTCCTGTGACTCTTTCTGTTGGCTCACATAGCCATAGTTTGTCAGCCTTTCTGGATTCTGGAGCAGATACCGAGTTCATGGATGGGGACCTGGCCAGAAAGCTCGGCATCAAGCTTCTTCTGACACCGGACTCTCATCAGGTACTAGCCTTAGATGGACATCAGCTTAATGAGTCATCTCTTAGGACTGAACCTGTAGAGCTGGTGGTGGGGGGGAACCATGTTGAACAGTTAGTTTTTCTTATTATTGATTCACCTCAGATTCCTGTAATATTAGGTTCTACCTGGCTTACTAAGCATAACCCGCACATTGACTGGCAAAGGGTGGAGGTTTTGAGTTGGCCCATTGCTTGTTCAGGTTTCTGTTTACTATCAGCTAAGTCTAGGATGTTGGGTTATTCTGTTGATCCAGAGTTTTCTCCAGATCTTTCTAAGGTCCCAGAGGAATACCATGACCTCAGAGAGGTGTTCAGTAAGGGCAGGGCCACAGCCTTACCTCCCCATAGACCTTTTGACTGTGGGATTGATCTACTGCCCGGTTCCACACCACCTAGGGGTAGGTTATATTCCTTGTCGGCCCCTGAATCTCAAGCTATGGAGAAATACATTTCCGAGTCACTTAGGGCTGGCATCATCCGTCCTTCCTCTTCCCCTGCTGGGGCGGGCTTCTTTTTTGTGGGCAAGAAGGACGGATCCCTCAGACCTTGCATTGATTACAGGGGTCTCAATGACATTACGGTCAAGAATAGGTATCCTATTCCCCTAATTAACACAGCATTTGATCAGATTCAGGGAGCTAAGGTTTTTACCAAGCTGGATCTCCGCAATGCATATCACCTGGTGCGCATCAGGGAGGGTGATGAGTGGAAGACTGCTTTCAACACCCCGACTGGTCACTATGAATATCTAGTGATGCCTTTTGGCCTCACCAATGCACCGGCGGATTTTCAGAACCTGGTTAATGAGGTTCTTAGGGACATGATTGGTCACTTTGTCTTTGTTTACATTGATGACATATTCATCTACTCACGGGACTTGGAGTCTCATAAGCTCCATGTCAGGTCAGTGTTGCTTCGCCTTCTCCAGAACCAGTTATTTGTCAAGGCAGAGAAGTGTGAGTTTCACATGAGCACTATCTCTTTTCTGGGCTTTGTTGTCTCCCCTGACCAGATCTCCATGGACCCTTTTAAGGTGAGCGCCGTCACTGATTGGCCGGTTCCTAAGGATAGGAGGCAGCTCCAGATGTTCTTGGGATTTGCCAATTTTTACCGCCGGTTCATTAGGAACTTTAGTCAGGTGGTAGCGCCCCTTCATGCCCTCACGTCATCCCAGGTCAGGTTTTGCTGGTCCGATCTGGCGGATCGAGCTTTTCAAAGGCTCAAGGCTGCCTTAACCTCAGCCCCAGTTCTGGTGTCCCCCGACCCCAAGAGGCAGTTTATAGTTGAGGTGGATGCTTCCGTTACCGGGGTCGGGGCGGTGCTCAGTCAGGAGGCTGAGGATGGAAGTATCCACCCTTGTGCTTTCTTTTCAAAGAAACTGTCAGCAGCTGAGCAGAACTATGATGCAGTCAAACTGGCTTTGGAGGAATGGAGACACTGGCTGGAGGGTTCAGGTATTCAGTTTCTGGTCTGGACAGACCATAAGAATCTGGAGTACCTCAAGTCAGCCAAGAGACTTAATCCCAGACAGGCTAGGTGGGCACTGTTTTTTGGGAGATTCAACTTCTCTTTGTCTTACAGACCCGGGTCCAAGAATACCAAACTATGATGCTTTGTCCAGGGTGTTTGAGGCGGAGGAGGAGAGTCCCAGTGGTGCTGAGGAGTACGTCTTGCCTGAATCTGTGAGGTGTGCTGTAACTATGGTTAACATAGAAGAGGAGGTTAGAGAGGCCCTTCTTGACCAAACTTCTCCCAGTGGTTGTCCGTCTGATCGTCTGTTTGTTCCTAATGCTCTGAGAGGGAGGGTCCTTGAGTTTTGTCATTGTTCTCATCTGTTCTGTCATCCTGGTATAACCAAGACTATTTACATTGTTCATTCTCAGTTTTGGTGGCCTTCTTTGTCTGCTGACATGCGGGAGTTCGTGGCAGCCTGCTTACAGTGTAACCAATCCAAGGCATCCAAAAGACCACCTTCTGGTTTCCTCCGGCCATTACCCATCCCGTCCCGTCCTAGGTCGCACATTGCCATGGACTTTGTTACTGGGTTACCTTGTTCTGATGGTAATACTGTCATCCTTACAATCATTGACAGGTTCTCTAAGATGTTGCATTTGGTCCCTCTGCCCAAACTCCCCTCAGCTAAGGAAATGGGGGAGGTCCTCACCCGTGAGGTTTTTCGGCTCAATGGTCTCCCCACTGACATTGTTTCTGACAGGGGTCCCCAGTTTGTCTCTCGGTTCTGGAGGGAGTTCTGTTCATTGTTGGGGGTCTCTGTCAGTCTCTCATCCGGTTTTCACCCCCAAACAGATGGCCAGACAGAGAGGGCCAACCAGGAGATCGAGACAAAGATCTGCATTCTCTGTGAGGCTGATCCCACTAAGTGGGCCAGCCAACTCCCTTGGGTAGAGCATGCCATAAACTCTGCACCCTCTAGCACCACTGGACTCTCTCCGTTCTATGTTGTTTTTGGTTTTCAGCCACTGGTGTTCACCATACAGGAGAAGGAGTCTAAGGTTCCTTCTGCACACCTTTCTGCCCTTAGGTGCCAACGAGCTTGGAGAAGGGCCAGGAGAGCAATTTCTCAGGCCCTGGTTGGTCAAGCTAGGGCTGTCAACCGCCGGAGGGTTCCAGCACCCACTAACAGGGTGGGTCAGAGAGTTTAGCTCTCAACTAAGGACCTGCCTCTCAAGGTCGACAGCAAGAAGCTGGCTCCCCGCTTTATTGGGCCGTTCCCTATTGTTAAGGTGGTGAACCCGGTGGCCGTCCGCCTCCAGCTCCCACGCACCTTAAAAATTCACCCCACTTTCCATGTATCCCGGGTCAAACCTGTAAGGACCTCTGGTCTTGTGCCCACACCTGGGTCACCTCCACCTGCCCAGTTCATTGATGGAGACCCGGTCTACATGGTCCGCCGCCTTCTCAGGTCTAGGCGGAGAGGCCGGGGGCTCCAGTATTTAGTAGACTGGGAGGGGTATGGACCTGAGGAGAGGTCCTGGGTTCCGGCCCGGTTCATCTTGGATAAGGACCTAATTAGGGCTTTCCACAGGTATCACCCAGATCAGCCCATTGGGGCGTCTGGAATCTGCCCTTGAGGGGGGGGGGGGTTCTGTCATGATCCTGGCACTGGTGGCTGGCCTGATTGATCATTCCACTTACCTGTTTAACTCTGCCCGTTTTCTCATTACTGCTTATCTGATCCACCTGTTTTCAGCTCCTATATATGCTGTGTGTTTTCCAGCTACCAGTGCCAGAATATTCAAGCTGTTTTGTGTGAGTAACTCTAGCCTTCTGTTTGTTTTTCTGATTATCTAAATGTGACCTGTTTCTGTCCTGTGGATCCTGAGTTTTGCTTTGCCCTAGTCTGCTCTTTAATCTGCTCTGTTATGGACTGATTCCTGGATTCACCTGGCTCACCAAACTTGGACTGTTTTTCTGACATCGGCTTGGATTCCCCTTCTGTACCTCATCAGCTTTCTGATCCTCTGGTCTGTGAACTTGGTTCTGCTTCAACTTCGGACATTCCGTTCAGGACTCTGTTGCCCCTCGGCCTCGGCTGGCTTCAGCTCCACTCAGAAACAGGATCCGGTTTATCCGCCCCAGCTGACGAGCAGCCATACTGAGTGTTAAATAAAGTCTTGTTTTGAACTATCCAGATCTGTCTGTTTTTGAATATTGGGTCCAAGGTTTTGAACACATTACACTGCCTTTATTAACTGCAGCATCATTTCCATGATTAAACATCTGCATGTTTTTTTTTTTTTAAACTTAATGGTCAATTCCACAGTAATAAACACCTTTGTTCAACATTCAACGACTCACCTCTTTGTTTTGGATGGTTTGTTTCTTATGCGTTTGGAATAAATCTGACTTCCTCTGGGGCCTGAGCATTCTGAATAGCTGTAAAAACGAAAATCATATGAATTAAAATTTTAATTGTTAAAAAATGTAGTTCAAATGCACTGGAAAAATCTTAAAGACCAAGAAATACTAAAAAACTACAGAGCTAGAAATGTAAGATTTAGAGAAGGGAGTGGCTGAACTTACATAAAGTTGGACGCTTGGCTGAAAAAGAGGATAAAAAAACAAGATATTTAGCTGGATAAAAATACTGCTATGTCTGCCTTATATCTACAAAAATTTTACAATGAAAATGTAAATCAATGGCTCATGGACCTCTTGGTTACATTTGGTAGATATCTGGTTTGAAGCCAACATTGTAAGAAAAACAAAAGTGAGATGTAGTTACAAGCTTAGTTAAATGTAAAACACGTGTTTAGCTATTCTGATTTTATTCTTATGGATAAATTTACTTATTTATTTTTCCCCAAACATGAATGTTTCTTATCTGACTCTGAGATATTCCATGAATGAATAATATGTTAAGAAACTCAGAGGAGCCCCTGCTGTTTGATGGAGGTTCTCTGGAAATTATAATTCATGTTGATTAATTTCTATGTAAACAGATGCATTTAAAAATGTTCTGGGTATATGAATCAAACAGTAGCCTGTACAGCTTGAATGTTTATTGTTAGCTCAGAAACCAGTGTATGTTGCATCTTTCAGTGTGGTGCAATTATCTTACAAAATGTTCTGCCATTTAAAGTTTTTTACTGTCAGACAAAAAAAACCTGATGCTTTTTTTCCGCACACTATTATATTTCCTCAGTATCAAAAAAGAAAATGACACACAAAAAAAACATTTATAATGGATTAAATCAAGTTGAATGAGTTTTTCTATTATTTTTGCATTAAATACAATTTTTATGGCCCAAAGTCTAAATTTAGGTCAAATTTAGACCAGGAAGACTTGGTCAAAACCTGGACAAGATATATAAGGCCCAAATTATGGTTGTACATCACTTTATCATTGACTCATATCTACTGTACATGGTATGAATAGCTCTAACAATAAAACCTTGCTATTTTTGGGGGTTAAAGTCAACAAACAAAATATGGGAAAATGGAGAACAAATGCCAATTTCTCACCATTCTTCTTGTGCACAATAAAGGAAATAAGACCAATAAGACCAATCAAACCAACGACACCAAGGACAACCAACACAGCCACAAGGATGGTGGCTTTATTTGCTGTTGAGAAAAAAACAAAAAAAAAACAGGTCACACTCAAGTAAAATAAATATTTTGCTCATGTGTTGTAACACCATGATCAGGATTTAGTATTTTCACTAATTCAATTCAATTAATTTGGTTTTAGTTATAAAGTGCCAATTCACATTCTCATTCTTTGCTTTTTCAGGTTTCAGTTCTGTCATTTTTTTTTCTTTTACAGCACATCACTAAGAGGCTTCAATGTATTGCTTTTCAGTTACTATAATTGTCGGTGGTTATATATCTTTTATAAACATCTTAAATTAATGCAGTGGATATTCACACATAGTCTAAGAATACCTAAAACCTCAAAATGAATAGAATTTTGAGTTTTTGTAGAAATTGTTATTTACTTATAATATAAAGAAGCACAAACAACTGGAGCAGATAGTAATAGCAGCAAATCACATATTTCTTTTTATGGCTTAGATAATTGTAAGAAATAAAAGATTCCTATTCTAAACACTAAAATTTAATGTAAATCTAAAAATAGTCAGATAGATAAGAGACAGATATTTTAAATCAGCAGACGTTGACCAATAAGCACTTTGCCAGCTGCCTTAGCTTTTTCCAGCTAAGGCAGCTGGCAAAGATCAAACCAGTCCTTCAGAGAAAGCACTTTGAGACAGTAATCCACGCCTTTGTAACCACTCGGCTGGATTACTGTAATGCACTTTATGTGGGGATTGCTGGGTCCTCAATTGCTCGTCTTCAACTGGTTCAAAATGCTGCTGCACGTCTTTTAACTGGCACACGCAAGTACGAGCACATTTCACCTGTTTTAGCTTCACTCCACTGGCTGCCCATCCATTTTAGGATTCATTTTAAAATTCTTTTATTTACTTTTAAAGCCTTGAATGGCCTTGCCCCAATTTACCTCTCTGAGCTTCTGCACCCCTACACTCCCAGCCGATCTCTCAGGTCAGCTGATCAGCTGCTCCTGACAGTGCCTAAAGCAAGGCTTAAGCTCAGAGGGGATCGAGCGTTTTCTGTTGCAGCTCCAAAACTCTGGAATGCATTGCCGCTGCACATTAGACAGGCCACCTCTCTGTCTCATTTTAAAACGCTTCTTAAAACCCACCTCTTTTCTTTGGCTTTTAACACCATGTAGAGTGTTGATTTTATGTACACATGTTGATTTTATGTACACATGTTGATTTTATGTATACACATGCATATTTTTATCCTGTGCGGGCAGTGCTTTTATTTTATTTTATTTTATTACTTTTATTTATTTTAGTTATTTTATCTTTTTGTGCAGCACTTTGGAAACCTTGTGTTTATTTAAACCGTGCTATATAAATAAAGTGGATTGGATTGGATTCTCACAATTACTCACAGTCATCATTCATTCTTGGTTTCTCCAGTCTGTGGACACTGTCATCTTTGACACCAGAGAGCTGAAACACACATTCATATTTTGTCCAGTCCTCAGATGATGGAAGTTTCAGGTCAACGTTCATCTGGAAGGTTCCATCATTGTTAGGGAGGATCTCTCCTTTCTCCACACCATCATTGATCTCTGCTCCATCTTTCCTCCAGAACATTTCTGCTCTGTTGGGGTAGAAACCTGTAGCAAAGCAGCTGATTGGAGAGGAGGAAGACTTCTGGAGGATGGAGACTGAGGGACGATCTGGAGATGGAGACAATCAGAGTTTAAATATAAACTGCTTAAGGATTAATAGCCAAGTGATTTAAAAATTTGAAGCTGCATAAAAGCCATAAAAAAACTAAGTCCCATTTAAAATGTAGTGAAAATGTGAAAAAAAAAATCCCTTTGAAAATTTCTGGCAAGTTAAATCATTTAGATTAACAGTTGATCTAATAAAAATCATAAAAAGTGACTCTACCTGTTCTCATCAAAGAGCTCCTCCCATAGTTTACATACTTCTTCAGCCACTCAGGACATTCTTTAATGAGGTAGCTCTTAATGTACTCCAGATCAACTTTGTCACTGTTCCATTTGTTTGTAGTAATTACAGCCTGTGGTTTTGGAGTAATATAGGTGTTTTCCTTCAAGTCCAATGTTATCCAGTCTTCTCCATCATAGCCAAACTGTCGAAAGCCAGTAATCTCTCCAGCCTCATCATCCCACTCACAGCCGTACATGTACTGGACAATGTGGACACCTAGAAGACAGGAAATACAATCTCACTTTAGTTGAGGAAAGTTTATTTTTCAAAGAAACTTTCATCTTGAACAGCTTTACTGCATGCATAGTTTATTTACACTGATAAAAGATCTGTGATTTCATATAATCCAAACTGTTGAAATGAAGGGATTGTAGAAGATTGTGATTTGAACAATTTAATCTCTCTGCAGCTTCAGTCTCTGTTCTCCATCCCCCATCAGTGTCTCTGATCTTCCTGCTTCCTCTCAGTCTCTAATGTTTCAGCTGATCTTCTCTCCTCCATCTCTGTGTTTCTTCTCTAAACATGGAAACAAACAGACCTGTCCACAGATCTCCTCACTAGAACCAGAACCACTGACCCAGGAGCTCCTTCTCTATAAAGCAGCTCCATCTAAAGTTTCTCTGATCAGAGGAAACATGATTACAGCTTTTCTTGTTGCTCTTTTACAGCCTGAGCTTCAAGCTTCCATCAGTCTGATGGTTTCAAAAATCTTCTTTCACATTTTTCCACTTTAGATGTAATTAGGTCGACTGATGTGTCATGAAAATAACATCTGTGTAATTTCGTTATGCAGTATTAACGGACATATTAAGACTACTTTAAAAACTAGAATGTTTCAAGTGTTACAAATTATTTTTGTTGTTCTGTCTTAATTATCCATCATGATGGAGCCTCTCAGCAGCTCAGAGGTTAAAACTCTCAGGATGCTGAATGGAGACATGAGAACAGGTCAGATTTATATCAGCTGATATTATTATCATAAAATCAATCCTCATCTCATGATCTTCCTGATGTTGAACAGCCTGTGATAAAATCAATCAGTTTTTCTCTCAGTAATATTTCCTTGTTTAATGTAGTCGACCTTCATGGATCAGAGCTGATGATCTGCTCTGTCGTCATGACGACAGACTGAGATCAAACATTCATGGTGAATCTTTAACAAAGTTAACTTCACGGTTTTAATGTTGATCTATGAGCAAAAACACTCAGATGGTCCAACGACAGTTTGAATCATTTAGTAACTCAGGCTGCTGATTTATTCTGATCAAAACATAGAAATTAGACTGAATCATTTCTACTCACAATGTTTAGATTTTTGTGTTTTTCATTCTAATTAATAAAGATTTCAATAAATGTAAATTAATAATCTAAAATAAGTCCCATTGAAGTTAAATGATGAATTCAAATTGTTGAAACTAAACTGATCAAAGTTTGCAGAATTAATTAACAAAGAAATTAAATGTATTTTTATTTTTTGCTTTTCTAACTGATCACTGTTTGGATCAAAGTTTGCAAAACATTTAAACACCAGTGAAGCTCAGCTCTCTGACACTGACTTTATTTTTATCTCTATAGTCTGGGATTTTATTCGATTTTCCTTTGCACTAAACACAAGCTTATAGATGCTTCATTCCAGAGTTTCATTTTTTTTTTTTTTTTGCCTTGAAAGTTTTCTTGTCCAGTCCATTGTTGTAGGACTTTACTGTAATCTTTGTTTGATAGAGTGTTTACTTCTACTTGCATGCATCGATCTGCATATTAGCTGCAACTTTCTCTTTTCTCTTTGGCAGCAAACCCACTTTAAACATATAATCACCAATTAAAGGACTGCAGTTAGAAATAATGTGTCTTACTATTGTTAAATGTAATGTGACCAACATTAAGAGCCTCTGTAATTTGAAAACTGCATTTTGTTAAATTGTGATTATATTGCAAATGCAAATAATTGCCCAGCTCTAGTTCCAATCAGACATTGATTATAATAAATTGGTTCAATATCAGTTTATAAATGAGTATCGGTATAAATCAGGCTGCAGCTAAAAGCTCTGATAGAAACACTGTTTACAGTTTAACCCTTTGGTTACTAATAAATGGGGCTGCAACAACGAATCGATAAAAATCGACGTTTAAAAGCGTTGGCAACGAATTTCATCATCGATTAGTTGTGTCGCGCGATTAATGCGTCATCCGCCGCCGTCATCATCACTGCCACTCGATTGAAACGGGGGAAGAAAAAAAAAGTTACGGCAGAGCGAGCCAGCGCTGCAGGTGAGCAAAGGCTGTTTTCAAAAGGCAGAAGCGTCAACTGTTCTAATGACTGATACCGCAAACGCAAGCTGCGTCTCAATTCGCAGACAGCCTGCGCCTTGTAAAGCGAAAAAAGTCGTAACATACAACTTTTGTAAAAACAAATGAACATGGCACGGAAGCACCACTGTTATGATGCAGCACCTGAAAAGAAAACACGATGGAGCCTTCGATGGCAGTGAAGAGAGCTGATCAGTTTCGTTTTAAAGTGGGGAAACGTAACGTTAGTTTCTCAGGTAGCTCATCTGATGCTTTCCTTACCGTGTTAGTAGGTTACAGACAGTGATAAGGTTGGCTACTTATTTTACTTTTACTTTCATTTGAATTAGCTTAAGCAGAGTTTATATTTTCTTTATAAATAAATTAACTTGCAAATTATGAGGGCAAGGCTTTTAAAGTTTAAATCTTCTGGCAAAGATAAAGTAAAGAAGATCCTGTAATTTATGGAAGTAAAGCAGAATAAAATCCAGCAAGATCAGTAATATGTCAATTAATTATCTGCCACATTCCCATGTAAATATCTGTCTTTGGAGGATGTGTTTTTTAGCACCCCTAGTTCTCTCATTTTTATTCCAAATACAATTTATAATTTGAATCACAGGGCTATTTTTATCTCTATGGTTCAGTATTTTCTCAAGTAGCAACTTTAACTGCTATACTTTCCTGTCTTAAAAGGCAGAACTCTTCTAGTCTAAAAAAAACTCATTTATTGAAATGGGGGGGCCTATTGTTTGAACCCCTTAGGGGCTTTTAAAAACAAAAATGTCTTCTTTTGCGCTTTATGAAACAAAGTACCCTATATTTTGTGGATGTACAGCTACATTTCTCATGTAAGTTTGCGTAGTTTTAACACAAACATTTATTTTTCATATTACACCAGTACAGTTAATGAGCAACCTGTACTTGTGTGCTTGTTTGTTCTGTCTAAAATGTTTATTTTGGAATAAAGAGGTTAATATAAAAAATATTTTTTGTCAGATTCATCGATTAATCGAAAAAATAATCGGCCGATTCATCGATTTTTAAAATAATCGTTAGTTGCAGCCCTACTAATAAATGACTCAGTTGTTCTCATTCCTCCTGTTATTGTTCTCTGTTTGAATGAGAATCACTTGATCAAACCTTTTCCATTGTTTCACACAACAGAATAATAAAAGTCTGTTTGATTCATGCTGATATCATTTCAGGTTAATATTAATGTTGGGAAAAAAACGTATCTGCATCTGAAATGAAAAAGTTGTTTCAGGACGAAACTAATCAAGGTAACAATTTGTACAAAATACCGACCTTTAAAGGAATAGTACACCCAAAACATGATTAGCCTTCATTTTCTACTCACCCCCATGCTGAACAACACTCTGGAGTACGTTTTTGATATCTCAAATGCATCTGGAGATCTGGGAGGCTTCTTGCTGTCTGCTGACATTCAAATAATGGAGGTCTATGGTGCCCGAGACAGAAAGGTCCATAAAAGTCCACAAAAAACGTGTCAATATTCCTCCATAATGCTCTTCCAATGTATTCCAAGTTTCCTGAGTGGGTAGCGTCCATAATTTACTCGAAACAAAGTCATTTAGAATGTTTTTAGAGCATAAACAGTAGTGTATAGGATTTCCTGAAAGTGCGCACATGCGCGCTCCCGACGCTACGGAAGCCGGCAGACCAAACCAGCGCATTCAGCTCGGCAGAGAACTCATGCTCTTCCTCAACACTGAAGTCCTCAGACATTTTTCATTCGTTGTTTCTTTCTTTGCACAGGTAAACGGCACATTTCTTCTTCTACGCTTGCATTATTGGAAGAGCAGACGCTGAATGCGCACTTTCATCTGGCTTGGTCTGCCGGCTTCCGTAGCGTCATGAACGCGCCGGCGCGCGCTTTCAGGAAATCCTATACACTACTGTTTATGCTCTAAAAATATTCTAAATGACTTCGTTTCGAGTAAATTCTGGATGCTACCCACTCAGGACACTTGGAATACATTGGACGAGCAGTATGGAGGAATATTGACACGTTTTTTTGTGGACTTTTATGGACCTTTCTGTCTCGGTCACCATAGACCTCCATTATTTGAATGTCAGCAGACAGCAAGAAGCCTCCCAGATCTCCAGATGCATTTGAGATATCAAAAAAGTACTCCAGAGTGTTGTTCAGCATGGGGGTGAGTAGAAAATGAAGGCTAATCATGTTTTGGGTGTACTATTCCTTTAAGCCTCAATAATTTAGAATTACTTCCTGGACAATAAATATAATAAAACAACAGCAGAATGTTCAATTTATTGGGACCATCTCAGTGCTTCACATCATGTTTAATATCATTGATAACTGCTGAGAAAATGATAGAAGTATTAAACTCTGAATTTCTAAGTTTCGATCTTGGTTATGAATAATTTATTCATTGTTTTAAATAATAAAACAGTTGTTGGCTTCTTACCGATCTAAAGTTATAGCTAGCAGAGTTAAGTTTTTACTTGGATAGATTCACAGCTCTGTAATATCTACGTATCAGTGTCTCGTCTATGTGTATGTGTGTGTGTGGGGGGGGGGTTACTGTGTGTCCTACTTTCTATAATCAACAACAAAAACAATCAATGATGAAATAAACACAAACCTCCAGTTTGGTTGAAGCGCTGCTTTACAGTTTCAATGTTGACTTTGAAGGCCTGCTGGTGACGCTGAAAGATTCGAGTGTTCCCCTCCCAGTACTGCTCATCAGTGTTCTTCTCCATCCAGTCCTGTTTAGGAACTGCTTTCTGGGTGTTGCTGTCATAGTACATCATCTGGGCATCATCAACCAAACCAACAATCACAAACTCTGGGAAGTTTGGGACTTCAGACGATGTCGTGTAGAAATACTTCAGGGAGTGGGTCACTGGAAAAAATAACAATATGAATTAAAAATGTATAAAGGATAAAATAATAAAACCTTTTCTTCACACAAGTTAAATAAACTAAAGACCATCATTAATAAAACTAGACTTTAAATAAGGAGACAATTCAGAAAGTTTTCATCTTTTTAATCATTTCTGAGGAGTTTGTTCACTATAAATAAAAATGTTAAACAGTCGCTTTATGAAGTGTTTTTGTTTTAATTGTCCTTTATATGTTGATTAGACAAAACTTTTTTAAGGACCTTAATGTCACACAATCTGTTTTACTAACTTTATATAGTTAAACAAATTATAGAAAAAATTAAAGGAAGATTTCTAGTCAGCATTTACAATTCTTTGAAAAATAACTAATAATTCACTAATTAATCTCACACTCAATTTGGATTTTATGAAGTACATCTTCTAAACAATGACTTAAAATGAGGAGAAAATAAATGAATAATTAAACACATAAATCAAACCTTTATTGACACCATAAAAAATACAAAAAAGAATCTGTTTAATAAACGTCTCACCCCACTGTGTTTAACTCAGAATAAATAACTACTTTAATGGGTTTTAGGGTTTAAACTGTTTCACTTTTTGATTTTTTTTATCTAGATATTTCAATCTTAACTGAGAGCAGAGCAGGTATAGTTGTTGCAAATCGATTAATATTTTGATTATTTTTTTTATTAATTGATTTTTAATCAGATAGACAAATGTTCCTTAAAGAAGATTTTTTACAAAATTAAACCAGCTGAAACTAAAATGTTTCCACTTGAGGAGTTCTGGATAAAGCAGATTGACAGAGGAATAAGGGTGTGCAAAATAATCGTCATATTGATGCATCGCGATTCTAATTTTTGTGATCTACTGCATCGATTCTTGAAGGAAATAATCGATTATTAAAAAAAAAAAAAGAACAAATGAAATGCATTAATGGTTGGTGCACATCAGCCAAACCAAGAGGAATACAACTTCCAGTCCAGCATGTCTGGCCGTGGGATACTGAGACGAGTCATATGAAATAAAACATGGAGGACACTATGAATATTCGCCCCGCGGCTCCATCACATTTCAAGTCAAATGCTTGGATGGATTCTGGCTTTAAAAATAAAGAAGGTAAAAATGAAATTGATATGATGCACGTATTTGCAAAAGGGGAAATATACATTTGAATGTTTTCATTTCATTGGTTTAAAGGACCGCTGAGGCCATGTAAACAGCAGTGATTATCCTTATTTTGCTATTTTAAGTTTGATGAATCCTAAGATCTTTTTGTCAGTGTGTCCACACCAGTAATAGTAATATTTCTGTCCAGTATTTGTTTTCATGGCAACACCTCCAAAAGTCATTTCAATAAATACAGCTATGTATGAATTCAATTGCTTTCAGTTATGTATCAATTGAAGACACGATCCACATCATACCCAGCCAGTCAGCCACTGGTAATGGCTGTATCCTTTTACTACAGTGTTCAGTGAAAATATCGCAACACATCGCGCTGCATCGCAATATTTCAAGTATCATGATGCATCGTGATAGAATCACATCTTGGCATGTGAATCGTGATTCGAATCGAATCGTGACTTCTTTGCCAATACCCACCCCTACAGACGAAAAAGTGTTTTATTGTTGTTTTTTTTACCTTAAATGTAAAATGTTTAAATATTTTTTTTAATTACAATTTTGGTATAATTCCTGCTCTAAATAAGTCGCTCTGTCAGCTAAAGGCATATTTTAATTTTTCTATACTTTAGTTAACGATTAATCAGTCACTAAATTAGTTGATGACTGAACTAACATTTTTCATGTGTTTTGAATGTGTTCATTGCTATCTGGCTGTTCTGCAGGTTCTGGAGTTAAACAATAAAATAAAATCTATAGTTTTGTAGCTATAGAAACTGTTAAGTTGAATTCAATACCTTTAAAGAACCAGAATATCTTCTAATAACATTCTATTTTATTCTACTCTATTCTATTCATGGCTTTAAGCTGCAGCTGTTTTCTCCTCAGCCGGGAGTAACTATTGATAAAATAATGGATTCATTACATTTTCTGGTTTAACTTTTACATTAGTGTAATAATTAAGACTAGGGCTGCAACTAACAATTATTTTAAAAATCGATGAATCGGCCGATTATTTTTTCGATTAATCGATGAATCGGACAAAAAATATTTTTTATATTAACCTCTTTATTCCAAAATAAACATTTTAGACAGAACAAACAAGCACACAAGTACAGGTTGCTCATTAACTGTACTGGTGCAATATGAAAAATAAATGTTTGTGATAAAACTATGCAAACTTACATGAGAAATGTAGCTGTACATCCACAAAATATAGGGTACTTTGTTTCATAAAGTGCAAAAAAGAAATTTTTGTTTTTAAAAGCCCCTAAGGGGTTCAAACAATAGGTCCCCCCATTTCAACAAATGAGTTTTTTTAGACTAGAAGAGTTCTGCCTTTTAAGACAGGAAAGTATAGCAGTTAAAGTTGCTACTTGAGAAAATACTGAACCATAGAGATAAAAATAGCCCTGTGATTCAAATTATAAATTGTATTTGGAATAAAAATGAGAGAACTAGGGGTGCTAAAAAACACATCCTCCAAAGACAGATATTTACATGGGAATGTGGCAGATAATTAATTGACATATTACTGATCTTGCTGGATTTTATTCTGCTTTACTTCCATAAATTGCAGGATCTTTACTTTATCTTTGCCAGAAGATTTAAACTTCAAAAGCCTTGCCCTCATAATTTGCAAGTTAATTTATTTATAAAGCATATTTTATTATTGTGATCAATTTGCGCCGTCAATCCCGGCGCATGCGCGCTTCATTTGCAGTCTGGACGCTGAAACATCCTGCGGCTCTGACTGCCGCGCTGTGAGGGACTCCTGCGGGAAAACGGGGTTGGGATGGGGGAGTATGAAGGTAAATATGTGCCAAAATGAACGAACTTGTGAATTTAATGTGAAAACTTGAGAATGCAATGTGAGAATTTGTACCACAAAAATCTGAACTTGTATGCCAGAATGTTCTGCTGTAAAGGAAAACCGCACACACACAAACTGAATTTGAAGTTGCACTAAAAGAAATATCAGGCAAGACCATGTAAAAAAAAATTACACTTGTCAGTCCAATCTTCACCTGAAGAGGATTTTCACTCAAATCTGATTTAAATGTGAATGCACAAAAAAACTATTTACTGGTGTGTTCATATAGTTTTACACAAATAAAATTACAGCTGACAAATGATTATTGATAGTTTATTTGTAATTATTATTTTTTTGCATATGTTAATCTTGCATTACAACCTCAATTTAGCCATTACAGCTTCTTGAATCTGCTGCTTCAAGAACACAAACGCGCTCTCGCGAGACACAGCACGTTGACACCGCGCTTTGACTTTTGTCACATTCCTTGCGAGATATTTTTGCCAAAACGAACTTGTGTTTGAAGATGTGAGAGCAAATGGGGGGGGGGGGGGGGGGGGGGGGGGGGGGGGGGGTTCTATAGGCCAACCAATCACAGGCTGCGTACTTGGGAGGACGCCTTTGCAGCACTTCCTGGCTTCTTTTTTTTTTTTTTTAGTAGTTGAAGAAAAAGAAGAAAGTCGGATTTTCTTGAAGTTACGGACAACCGAAAGCAGCAGCAGCGCCGGCAGTAGAGCGGAGAACACCTTTAAATGTAAGTAGTTTGTTTTTGCTTTTTTTAAATGAACATCTATTAAAATACATGACGGTAACAGAGCCACCGGGATGTGTAGGACCAGCTAAAGCTAAAGCTTAAAGCTAACCTGTTGATACGTGATGTTCATCAACAATTAAAAGCCTTCATATAAAAGTCACTATTTTTTTTTTTAACCTACATCTTACTGTACTGATAGCCGTATCCCTCTCTAATCAGATCTATTTATTCTCAAACAGTTTATTACAAAGTATTAGAACTTTTAAAGCTTAATGCAGCTGAAGAAATAACATTAGTCCAGCTGTACTGGGCTGTTAATACTGTAAACGTTTTGTTTTAATACTCAATAATGTATAGTTAATTTACAGTACAGTATAATAAGTTTTAAAGTATAATTCACTTGAAGAACAATACCAGTGTAATTATACAGAACAGTCATTTTGCCTGTTGACTTAACAGAAATATGCTTTACATGTCATTTTGTTCCAGAGAGCAGACAGAGGAGTGGATAAATGACCACCTTATCATCAGGGCCAAAAATACTGCTGCAGTCGGATGGAGCGAAGAGTTGAGGCAGAATTCCATCTACATGTTGCATTTCTATGTAAAAGTCACACAAGTTAAAATAAGTCCTGTTCAAACACCAACGTACAAATATATAATAATTTGATCACATCAAATGATGCCCAGATGCCACTTTTTGTAAATCTCATATTTGTGATAGAAGTGATCCTTGTGTGGGACAACTTAAAAAAAAAAATACAAAGTATGTTCAGGTTTGGATAATGTACACACACATACATATATATATATATATATGTATGTGTGTGTGTGTAGGGAAATTACATCTTACATTTATTATATTCATGTTAATTTTGAGTAAGCTTAAAAAAGTAATCTCCAGGTTACCATTCCAAAGTCTTTTTCTGTAGAATTTCATTAATCCATCCAAATCATGAAACCTTCCTTTTTTCTAGCTTTAAAGAAACACTACAGAAAACAGGGGGTCAGTGGGAATCCTACTGCTGCCACCTGGCCCTGGTTTGTCCTCATGGATGAGGTATTAGGACAGAGGCCCCCTAATGCCCCACCTGTCCTAATTGCCTCCATCCCTGAGGACACAGCAGGGCCAGGTGCTGCAGAGGCTGAGCAGCACCAGGTTGACAATGAGGAAGAGAATGATGCTGCGTTCACACCGGGGGCAGCTGGCGCGACAGAAGCAGCGAGTTTACATGCAAAGTCAATGGTTGACGCGCGTCAAGGCGCAGCAAAATGTCCCGCGGCGCGTTTCGAGCAGCAAGCGCAGCGCGTCTGAGCAGCCGAAGCAGCGCGTCGGGCGCGTTTTGGCATCTGACGCGCGCGACGCGCCGCAAACGCGCTGCTGCTCGAGATGGAAAAATTGAATTTTTGCTGCTCGACGCGCCGCGTCAACCAATCAGAGAAGCTGATCTAGGAGCTGGCTCGGAGAGAGACACAGCGCTGATGACACAGACCGCTCTGATTACTCCTCTTAAACAGTTTATTAACACATAATTAACTTAAAATATATACATCTGCCGGCAGAATATGTTCGCTTTTATTATCCTGATGCCCGCAGATCGGATTATTTAGATGAAAAACACCTACCAGCCACCGCGGTGAACCGCGAGGAGGTGAGCCAGCCAGAGGCTGCTGATGAATGGATTCCTTCTGTCGGCGCACCGCCGGTATGTGGGGGTCTGAGCCGCTCCGACAGAAATAATACTGGGAGGCAGGATTGTAATCTGGATGAACTGACTGCACTGATGAAGTTTTCAGGTGTATTTTCTCACTTAAAAACATATTAAAACTACTTTATTCCCACTGATCACAGCAAATATAGCTGCAAGGCAGAGAAAGGATAGTGAAGCTCCGCCCAACGCGCGTCAGAGCCACTTTTGGACCGCGCAGCGAGAGCAGCAAAGCTGCATCAGACGCGCGTCAGAATTCACTGGTACAAGCAGCAAAAATGAAGCAGCAGACGCGATTTTGCTGCTTTTGCTGCCCCCGGTGTGAACGCAGCATGAGGATGAGAGGCCAGGAGAGAGGAGGGAAAGGAGGAAGAGAAGAAGGAGAGACGAGTTGGTGGATTTAATCAGGGAGGATATCAGATGGCAGAGGGAGGCGGGATAGGATGGACAGATTATTTCATTTATTGGAGAGGATGGTGGACAGACATTATTATTTTTGGTGTTTTTTTTTTTTTAACAAGTTCAGGTTATGTGTTGCTGTTATTAAATTAAATTATTAAATTGTTTATAAAAGTTATTGTTGTCGGTGTGTTCTTAAAGTCTTTTATCTGTTTCATCACTTCTTTATAATTTAAGTAAACTTAGAACAACTTCTCAGTGACATCAGTTTATTTTTAGAGAAATTAGATTTTAAAATTAACTACTACAACTATTTACAGAAGATATACAGTAAATATTACTAGAGAACATATATATATATATACAATTGTGACTGAGCAGGAGTCCCTGGTGGTGCTGCTGGACTGGATGCGATGCCACACAGATGACCTTGGAGTCTTCTGACTGTGAGTGGGACATCATCTGGGGGGTGGGGGTGCCTCTCTCCACTGTTCACCACATCATCCATCAGGGTTTGCAGGGCTGACCCAATCGACAGCTGCCCCAATTGACGGCTGCCATGTTACTAAAAAAGTTTAAAATGACGAAGAAAATAATGACTTTACTAAAACTGTTTTCATTACCCTGAAATAACAGCTAAAATGTGATTAAAATGTGCTAAAATGTGACAATCTAAATGTAATGGTGGTCGGGTAGACCCTCCTCCAGGGGCAGACACCTTGGCAGACAGCTGGTCCCTCCATGGAGCACCACTGACTGCCTCCAACACGTTCTCCCCTCCTCATCCTCTGGGGCCGTGATATGCAGGCAGATGTTGTGCAGGACAGCACATGCCGTTTTGACCTGTAGAAAAAAATAGACAAAAATATTTATTTTTATTCAGTCATCTATCTTTATTACATGATTTATTAGAAATTAAATTTTACTTAATCTAGATCCACTATTTAACTTCTTTTTTCGTTTTTATATTTTTATTTTTTTCCTGTATTATGTTTATATATATATATATATATATATATATTTATATATATATATATATATATATATATATATATATATATATATATATATATATATATATATATATATATATATATATATATACACACAGTAATTGCAAATAAAATCAGGCAGTAAGGGGATAACAATTTAGACAAAAAATGATTTATTTCTCAACAGTTTGGCTTCTCAACAAAACATTAGTAATGGTGAAAGTAGTTATTCAAGTCAGTTATTTACAGGGTTTGTACAAATTTAAGTATTCAATTCGAATTACTAAAGTTACAAACAAATAAATTACAAACTTAAAAATAAATATAAAATTTGATATTTAAACATATTCATCAATCTGCTGACAAGCGTTTATTTAATAACTGGTATATTCTGATCATTAGCAGGCCCCTGTGGGTTAGAATAATAGCAGGTAGATCTTACCTCTCCACTGCGCTCTGCCAGCCTGAGAAAAATCCGTCGCAGGTTTTGCTGCCGCCGAAGCCGTCAAAGCGACTCTCCTCCTCCAATAACAAGTAAATAAAAAAAAAATTCCATATATATTTTTTTGTTTTTGTTGTTTCTTTCCGTATTTCTCGAGCTGTCGGATTTTGTTTGGCGCTGTATTTGGGGTAAACGTGATGACGTCGTGTCGTAACCAGGAAGTGCTCCAAAGGCGTCCTGCCAAGTACGCAGCCTGCGAATTGAGACGCAGCCTGTGATTGGTTGGCCTATAGAACCCCCCCCACATTTGCTCTCACATCTTCAAACAAAAGTTCGTTTTGGCACAAATATCTCGCAAGGAATGTGACAAAAGTCAAAGCGCGGTGTCAACGTGCTGTGTCTCGCGAGAGCGCGTTTGTGTTCTTGAAGCAGCAGATTCAAGAAGCTGTAATGGCTAAATTGAGGTTGTAATGCAAGATTAACATATGCAAAAAAATAATAATTACAAATAAACTATCAATAATCATTTGTCAGCTGTAATTTTATTTGTGTAAAACTATATGAACACACCAGTAAATAGTTTTTTTGTGCATTCACATTTAAATCAGATTTGAGTGAAAATCCTCTTCAGGTGAAGATTGGACTGACAAGTGTAATTTTTTTTTACATGTTCTTGCCTGATATGTCTTTTAGTGGAACTTCAAATTCAGTTTGTGTGTGTGCGGTTTTCCTTTACAGCAGAACATTCTGGCATACAAGTTCAGATTTTTGTGGTACAAATTCTCACATTGCATTCTCAAGTTTTCACATTAAATTCACAAGTTCGTTCATTTTGGCACATATTTACCTTCATAGGGGAGGCGCCTCACGGCAGCAGCTGCTGCTGCAGGACAAGAGTAGGAACGATACATGCTTTCACGTAAGAGTCTCCAAAAGCCGCCAGTAACACCGTAAAAAGTCGCCAGATTTGTCACTATTCGCTTTCTTTTTTTTAAAATAGTCGCTGGAGGGGTCTGAAAAGTTGCTAAATATAGCGACAAAGTCACTGAATTGGCAACACTGCACCTGCAGCGCTGGCTCGCTCTGCCGTATTTTTTTTTCTTCCCCCGTTTCAGTCGAGTGACAGTGATGACGGCGGCGGCGGATGACGCATTAATCGCGCGACACAACTAATCGATGATGAAATTCGTTGCCAACGCTTTTAAAAGTTGATTTTTATCGATTTTATCAATTCGTTGTTGCAGCCCTAATTAAGACAGCATGATTGAACAACAAAACCAGTTTACTTCAGTTAACTTCTGTAGCACAAATTTACAACATGTGATCTTTATAGAAACAGTTCAATCAGATCATCCAGACATGATCAGCAGTTAACAGATTGCTTTATCTCCTCCTGTGGCGACATTAGATAATTTTATTACATAGCACAGCAATCTGTCATGAGTATGCATGCAGTGAAAGTGGGGAGCAAAAACTCTTTCATAAGAGTAGGTTATTTATAAGAGATGTTTTTACAGAGTTTGAACAGAGTGAAGCTAAAACTATACTAAACCCTCTGAGGTTTTGTAAATAGAGGGTATTTATGATAATGAAGGTTTTAATCTTAAATCCAAACTGTAAACACACTTTGTGCTAAAATTAAGCTTTAAGCAGCTCGTTCTTTCTTCAAATGCGCTTTTTAGAGTCAGTATATTCAAATGAACAATTATTCCATTACTAAATTTCTTCAAAAGTTATTTCAATAATTTATTAATCTGATTAAAGGGCTACCATTCATTCATCCTGTCTACTGAACTGCTGCTAGTTTTACTCACATATCTGGAAGATGTCTAGTGCTGCTACCACAGATGATCTTGCTCTCCAAATGGAATTGAACAATTCAGATTAGCTCGCCGAACGAATAGAAGGGGCAGAGCGTAGCCGCCTGTGGCCCGGGCTGCCTGTTATGACTCATGTCGTTAAAAAAAATATAAATATAAAAAAATATAACTGCAGATGTCTGGGGGACAGTGATTCGCCTACAGGTTATGAATGCTGGCGTAACATAAAGAATAAATTATGAACAGTTAAGTTTGTGCCTTCAAGTCGTTGCTCATAGGAAGATGTTACCTGGATATAACCTAACGGTCTTCAAAACAGCTCCAAATGACATAAAAATAATATGGGTGAGTAGAACAGGATGTAATAACGTAAAATCAAGGGCCCAATGTAAAAAAAAACAGTGTTCCCTTTAACTCTTTCAGTCCTCATAATAATCTTTACAATTCAAATCAAGTTTCAATCATTACTACTGAATACCTTAAAGGCATAGTAGAGGATTTCTGCAAATTTTTGAAAAGACCCGCCTCTACTCTTAAAAAAAAAAAAAAAAGGAGCACATGCACAATCCTATACCTGCTTCTTAGAGGGAACGCCTATTAAATCCGTGCGAGAGCGTGCACAAGCCTATTTATCCTCGTGCAAACTGTTTAAAATTTGCTGTTTGCATCGTTTATACAAGCTCACTTTTCAAAAGTTTTGTAATTTTTCCACTATCTCAGACTCACCACCGGTAAGTGAAAATGGGGACGAACGCGTAGCCTTATGTAAAAATATCAGCAGAATGATTGACAGTTAGGAGGACCACTGATTTAGATGATCCACCCAAAAATAATACATCCTCCACTATAACTTTAAACACAATTATTCAAACCAAACCAAAGACAAAGGTTGTTTCACTATTATCTGCAGGATGAAGACACATTTTCTCCAATGATCGAGACAGAACTGAAAGAAGGAAAAGCTTCCTCTAGGTTGTAGGTTTAGGCCTGTAATCCATGTTTATCACTGACCTTAATGGTGTAATCCTAGTCTAGCCTGTTAATCTAAAACCACCAAGCTTCTCAGCAGAGGGAACATCAATAAATCAGGCCTGATAAATCAGGATGTCCAATGGTTCCATTTCCTCATCACATTCTGGCAGATATCTGATGCTAAAGATATTTATTCAGAGCAGAGTCCGATGCTTAGAGCCATGATTAGTTTTATTATTAAGTCTGAGGCGAGAATTTTTTGTTTTAACGTGAATCACAGAGTGACGTCATCACGTGTAGCAGTCTCAGTTCCTTTTCACCATAAATATTAATATTTATGCTTCTCACACATAAAACATTTAATAATGTGGACTACATTAGATATATATATATAATAAATATAGTTATGTAGAAATGTCTTATATTAACATAATCTGATAAAAACTTAGGATTGTGAAGATATATTTAAAAATTAACACCTTATCAGATTTATTATTTATTTTATATTTTTGATCGCTTTATTTATCCATGCAAAGTTTTATAAAACCCCTATGAGTTAATAAAATTTAACACACTTCTAAACGATTGTTTCCTAATTTCCTGCTTAATATAAGTAAAGTAAGGAGTAAATACCAGAGAAATAGTTTAACTTTACTATTTAAATGTTAATGTTGTGTTTGGAAAACATATCAGGTTAATTAATTGCTTGGTTATAAGGTTGTATTATTAACCTGGAAGTTA